GTGGTCTCCCTAATAATTTCCAACTTCGAAGTCAGAAGGATTCTCATAGACAATGGCTCTTCAGCTAACATCCTATTCAATGAAGCCTTTGAGAAAATGCAACTGACCTCGGATTGACTCCAGCCTATTGATGTACCTCTAGTCGGTTTCTCTGGGGCAGCCATAAAACCGGAAGGAAAAATCACTCTACCTCTCATGGTGGGGATAGAGCCTCAACACGTGACCCGGATGATCGAGTTTTAGGTTGTGAAGGTCGGCTCACCTTACAATGCCATCATCGGTCGGCCGACGCTTCATGCCCTCAAGGCGGTGATATCTTCATACCACCTCGCTATGAAGTTCCCTACAGAACATGGCGTAGGAATGGTTTAAGGTAACCAACAACTAGCAAGGCAATAATATGTGGTAGCACTGAAAGGAAAAAGCAAAGAAGCCGTGCTGGTAGAAGGGCTCGACCTCAGGGATGAACCTGCCAGCCGAGGTCAACCAATGGAAGACCTCATCACAATGCCCTTGGACGAGGCCGAGCCTGAAAAAACTGTACAAGTCGGGTCTGCAAGTTCCACCCTAAAAAACTGAACCCGTATCCTAATGCAGGTCGAGAAGTAGGAGTATATGAAGTGGCTGACCAAGATAAAGAAGAACCCTAGGAGGGGTAACCCGAATAAGTTCTGCAAGTTCCACCACGACACCGTTCATGACACAAAAGATTGCCACGAACTCAAAATAAAATTGAGTCCCTCATTCGATAGGGACATTTGAAGGACTATATCAATGGTGAGATCCCAGCAGGGTCGGCCTCGGCATCAGCCTGCCCCCAAGCCAACTGACCCCTTGTAGGGGTTATCCATGTCATCTCAGGTGGAGCAACATTAGGAGGGGAAAGCACCTCTGCTTGAAAGGCCTACACTCGACAAATGCAAGTTGAGCACATGTCACCAAAGAAATAGAAGTCAGAGGATATCATCACCTTCTTTGACGACGACTTGAGAGGGGTCTCTACACCCCATGATGATGTATTGGTGGTCTCCCTAATAATCGCCAACTTCGAAGTCAGAAAGATTCTCATAGACAATGGCTCTTCAGCTGACATCTTGTTCTATGAGGCCTTTGAGAAAATGCAACTGACCTCGGATTGACTCCAGCCTACCAACGTACCTCTAGTCGGATTCTCTAGGGCAGCCATAAAACCAGAAGGAAAAATCACTTTGCCTCTCGTGGTGGGGACAGATCCTCAACACGTCACCCGGATGACCGAGTTTTTGGTTGTGAAGGTTGGCTCACCCTACAACACCATCGTCGGTCTGCCGACACTTCATGCCCTCAAGGTGGTGATATCTTCATACTACCTCGCTATGAAGTTCCCTACAGAACATGGCGTAGTAATGGTTTGAGGTAACCAACAACCAGAAAGGTAGTGATATGTGGCAGCACTAAAAGGAAAAAGCAAAGATATCACCACTTTGCAACGACACAATTGCAAATGATGAGCCTCTCCTCCCTCCTCTCCTCCCTTTTAAAAGAAAATGGACGACCCATATTCCTCGCATTTGACAGTCACCTTTGCCTCGACCTAACTGCCTTCGCTGACAACCACCACGTGGTAGACCTCAAAAATTGAAACAACGCCAAAGGGTTTGGCCCTGGTTCATCTCTACCCACTAGGTCAGACCTACTGAATCGGTTCCTTCACCCGTCCCGGGTTGTAACCGCTACCAACTGACGAAAGTGCTATCTGGGCCACGGTCGAAGACTTAGAAAAATCAACACTCCTTTCCTCTACTACCTTTGGCCGACGCCGATGGGGGTGGATTTGGGTCGAGCTGAGCTGGATAACTAGCTATTTGAGCTCACCTCGCCAAGAAAGTATTCGGCTCTAGTCAAAAGCTGGTAAACTCGAGCTCAACTCAGCTTGAGCTTGACTGTGAGCCAAATGTTTTATAAAAATAAAAAATTATTTTTATTTGATATTTAAAAAAATTAAGAATTATAACAATTAGTTTTATTATTATATATAGCATTTTTATTATATTTATTATTTTATGTATATATATATATAACATTTTATGTATGTATGATTAGGCTTGCGAGCCTCACGAGCCGAGCTTTATTAGGCTTAAGCTCGGCTTGATTAGCAAACGAGCTTGTAAATTGGTTTCAAGCTTGGTTTAAATTGAGCCAAACCGAGCTTTTCACAAGCCAAGCTTGAATAGCTGGTAAAAAGCTCAGCTCGTGGCCACCCCTAGACGCCAAGGCCTACGTGTCTAACCAGATCTCGGCCTTGGGACCGGGGGGGGGGGGAAGTGATATGGGTATATTTGATTGTCTCACCAGCGAATGACACATGGCACACCCAAAGGGTAATTTCGTCATCTTGGCCTCGACCAAGGGCATCGTCATCATTCTGGACTGGTCATCAATGTAATGGCATTAATCGCGGATGTTACGGTCTCGCCCGAGCTCCCCCCTGGTGCATTAATGGCAAGGTAACGCTTGCCCTGGGGGATCTAGCTCCATTAACTGCCACAGTCACGACCCTTGACGTGTGGAGCCATTACATCTCACCCACTACACTAGGCTCCTAGGCGACTTCGGTTATAAAAAGGATTCTATGGCCTCAGGTACTTCTTTCACACATACTGATTCACTTAAATTGCTCTTGCTCTTTGTGACCCTGGCTAACTTGACGTCTTTTGACTCCTTGCAGGTGGGACCCTCAGCCTCTTCATCTTGGAAGTTACCAAGCTGCCCTCGACTCCAGATTTGGTAGCAACTTGTCAATTTGTTCCCTTGTTAATGTTGAAGTCTTTGCAATCTAATCTCTTTCAGTCCTTATTGGAGTTTCATCCATATTTTTAAAGATAAAGGTCACTCTACTGTGCATGTAGGCCTGTTTGTTTAAATTCCCTGTGCTCAAAGAATTTAAAAGGTTCAAGTATGTCTTGTTGTAGAGGGCTTGAGCCACCATCATACTTGTCTATAATTATGAAGCATAGATTTTCTCCCCATTATGATTGATTTTCTGCTGCTCTTTGATTTTAATACTGTGACATCTTTTCTATATAGGGAATCTCTCTTTCTTAGAATACTGTGAATCTTTTCTATTTACGAATTATCATTTAGTTATTTTACTATAGTTTCTTAGAATATAACAAAATCAAGCATGTTATGTTGGCATGCCTGCAATAAATGTAAGTTGAATGTTGCAACACTATACTGTATATACGTAAGACCTGTTGGCCTTTGGCATGTTAACACATTTATTAGAAAACATATGTTATATTTATCAGTATTACTGTACAGTTTCTTGGTTTCAAAAAAAATTTAGAAAGTAAAGTTTCTGATTTTCCAGATCATGCCTTTTGCTTTCACTAAGATTTTGATTCTATTCTTGGTTCTTGCATCCTTTATTTTTTGAAATTGAGAGTTATTTTGACAAAATAAATTATGATTACTGATTGACTGAATTTTATTTTATAGATTCTAGATAATATTGCATGGAATCTTTGGTTGTCTTTGTTCAGTAATAAATTAAATCATTATTCGTAAGCCTTATCCCAATTATGTGGGGATTTGGCTGCAGGAATTCTGTAAACCTGTTATGCTCTGTATAGGTTGGTCTTTTGTTTGAGAATGAGTTGCTATATCTTCTCAAACTGATTTAACCCATTTCCTTTTTGAGACTTCCTTGTCCTTTTAATTCCTTTAACTACCTCCAAACCACTCACTTCATTGGTCTTTGTTGCCTAACCATATGTATGGTTTTGTTTTGTTTTTCTTTTTTTTTGTTATCAATTGGTGGGACACCTAATTTCTCTCATTTGTGCTCACTTCAAAATTTCACCACCTAGATTTTCCACTTGTATTTGACATCGTTCTGTTCCCAAGGCTCAGTTTGGGAAGAGTACACCTACAAATATGTACAGTTCAAAACGTTGTATTTTGTATTTCTAAGCCTTGTATTTGTACTGTACATATTTGTATTTGTACTCTTTCCAAACTGAGCCTAATTGACCAGTATTCTCCTTTGAGAAGCATGATTGGTTGTATTTTGATTGATGATTAGTTATATTCTTTAACCATGACTTTTTCCTATTCTTATGTTTGTCTTTTATTGGTCAAACAAAACTCTAGGAGTACACTCCAGCAAGGTTCAAAATTTCGCAATGTATCAGCCTGTATTGGTAACCCACCAATATGCGAAATATGCACTGTTTTGGGGTTTGACACTTTGACCTATTTCATAGGGTAGACAGGCCTTATACTGAACCTCCTGATCTGATCAGGTCTGAAAAATAAACTAAAAATAGGCACCTCTCATACAGACCGATGTGCCCCATCTGGCATATTGGTCTGTATCGATATTTAGAACCTTGCACTTCAGTGTGTAGTTTGCAAAGTTTTCTTACTGCCAAAACCAAGATTTCTCCCAAAGAGAGACTTGAGCCCTCCAAAAACTCTAATGCATATCACTAAGACAATGAGATAAGGGGAAAATTCAAGGAGAACTAAATAATGGAAAAAGGTCATTACCCAATGTTGGTCCTAGCTATATTGGGTCTTGGGAGGGTGGACTGGGTATGTAATTAACCTTTGGCATATTCTTTTATGCAGCATGGCTGCTCTCAAACTCAAATCTACGTTTTCATGTTGTCTTCCCGAGATTTTAATATTGAACCAAGCAATGGACACTTTGAAAATAATAATATGATGAAAATAGTCCAATCAAAAAAATTCTCAGACATATTCATTCGTACCTGGTATGTAAGAAAACATGGTAAGCCACCTGAGAGAAAACATGCATGTACAAATTTTCACCAATGCTAGAAAAAAATGGCTTATATGGGTTGCTCGAACGTTCTTAAATCAAGGGAATTTCCTCTTTCATTCTGCTGAAGTTTTGTCCTGAGCATATTCTTTTCATGGTTTACATGTGTGCATCAAACTTATTGTTTTCCCTTTATAATTGTTAGCTATTAACCATATAATACAAGTTTCAGGGAAAAGCACTTTAGCATGTTTGTTAAATCGTGGCTTGTACAAGAGAGAAAAGGTCTCTTATATACTTGATGGTGACAATGTTAGGCATGGACTAAACAGTGATCTGAGTTTCAAAGCAGAAGACCGTGCGGAAAACATACGAAGGATTGGTGAGTATTTCCACAAGGCTTGCCCTTCTTTTCTCTATTTCTTTATAGATTTTATTGCCCAAACAAGCACATATGTTCTGGCAATTTGACATTTATGCTGCCTTAGAAGCCGGAGTTAAGGATTTGTTTCTTTATTATGTACACAAGGCCACACATATCAATTATTAGGTATGGGTCAACTTGATTTTCTTCTGAATTTTAAGTTCATCTTGTCTGACTTTAGGGGAAGTAGCAAAACTCTTTGCAGATGCCGGTGTCATTTGCATTGCTAGCTTGATATCTCCCTATAGAAGGGATCGAGATGCCTGCCGTGCAGTGATGACAGATGGAAATTTTATTGAGGTATGAACTTTGTATTGTGATGATTTTTTGGAAAAAGAAAATTAAGAGATCTTTGAGTGGATTTAAAAGTTCTCTAAATGCTTTGTACCAAAAAAATGTTTTTTTTTTTTTAAATTAATTTTGACACTAACAAAACTTACACTGTGTAGGTTTTCTTGGATGTCCCTCTGCATGTATGTGAGGCAAGGGACCCTAAGGGCTTGTACAAGCTTGCTCGTTCTGGAAAGATCAAAGGTAACTTTTAGTAATCTCTATTGGGCCTGGATGTGATTTCTGGTTATGTCCAGTTTATTCTCAGATGATTGAGTATTTTATCCTTTCTGATTCATTTCTAAAATATGATGTTGATAAACGATGCTATCAAATTGAAGATGGTTGTCTGGGGATTTTATTTTGTTCATCTACTTTCCAACTTGCCATTGCCATATTTCATAGAGTCCGTGAAGGTTGAAAATTGTCATTCTTCACTTTCTACCACTGATTATTATTTTAGATGTGCATCAAGTTCTGAGCATGAGAAACTTATTTCCTGAGATACTCGGTGTTTTAGTTTCCTTGTTTTCTCTTGTTTGGACTTGTGGGTACATAATTTTTTAGCAGCTGAATGCGTGATGCTGTTACCAAACATTAATTTTTTGTCCATCTTTAGGTTATCCTTATTGGTATTTCACTATTTTGCCACAGGTTTTACTGGCATTGATGACCCATATGAGCCACCTTTAAATTCGGAGGTTTGTAAAACTATGACCATCTAATCCAAAAGGACATGTTTCAACATGCTTAAACATAAACAAACAGTCAAACATGCTGATGTGCACTTAAAAGAAATTTACGTGTCTAGTTTTATCCTCGTTGAAAAAATCACATTTTCAAGTGGTCACATCTTGTTTCTCTGATCAAAGTACATTAGAGGAGGGAGCATAATAGAACCTAGACACATGAACTATGAGAAGAAATATTTGTTAATTAAACTCTTACAGTATAATTTATCTTCTTCAGCATTGTTAGGATTATTCTAGATTCTCTCTTCCTGTGGCACATATGGCACATAAATAGATATCATGTGTGGACATTCTGACCCACCTCTCTGTGTGTATGTGGGTGGGATTAATGGGTGAAGATAATGGAAACGTAAATGCAGCAGAAAGAGGAAAAAGGTTCGGCTTTGAATTTCAAAAATTCCATCTTGATCGTGTCATGAATCGTGTCAAGCTGAAGCCTTTCCCATTGAGAAACAATTCTCTCCACTAGGGGATCGCACATGGGTTTAGACCAAAAGATATCAGATTCAAAACCTTCAAGTGGTTCAGTGTTTACCTGATGTAGAAGTTACCACAAACACAGCAACTGTTGGTGGTAGTTCACACCCATAACAGCCAAGAGAGTTAAATGAGCAGTCAATGTACAATAAGCTTCATTAGTTTTTTTTGAAGCCTAATAAACTTAATTAATTGGACAAAAGTTTATAATGAGAGTTAAATGAATTCACAAATAGGGGTGCAACCTGGGTTGGCCCGAGTTGGCATTTTACACTGCTTCAGGTTCAACCCTTTGGACTGGGGCCATTCAAAATTTTGACATAAGTCCAAGCCCACCCAAGTTGCACCCTTTCAGAAACATGACCATCATTTGTATTGAATTGTTTGCATGTGCAAATAGCATGAACACCAAGTACTGTCTTGTTTTTTTACCAAAAAAAAGTACTATGTCTTGTTCAAATTTTGCCTTAAAATGTCTGACGAAGCAATGTGTCACTGGAACTGTTATCTTTTTCAGATAGTTTTAAAGCACGAAGAAGGCAGTGCTTCCCCATTTGACATGGCCGAAAAAGTTATATTATACTTGGAGGAGAAAGGACTCCTGCGGGCCTAAGCATGCCTTTAGAACTAATTTTTAGATCATTTAAGTAGATCTTCAATAGTCTGAATTTACAAATAAAAAAGGGAACTACTGGTTCCTGTTCTCCGTGCCTCACCTCCTGTTGTAAATTAATTGATCTGTACTCTGCAGCTTTTTTTCTTTCGGTTGCATATAATAAAGTGGAACTTATTTAGTGGAATGTAGCATTTGATCAAAAGGGATTTCCGTGTAAGATTATTGTTATTGGTCTCGTATTCTTTTCTGTGCTTATAGGCAGTTGCATATTGCACAATTCCTACTATTTATTTTACAATGTGAAGGTGCAAAATTTGAGTTGGGGTCTGGTCCCAACAATCAATTGGCAGCCAAGAGTCCGGCTTCAGTCCAGGCAGTTTCGGTGAGGGCAAGGTTCGCGCAAAAGGAAGACGCGCCACGCGTCCTCCACTTACTTTAAAATGTTTGAAACATGCGGGGGTGTTTAAGTCGTGTTTAACGCCGTTGGCTTACAAATAAAATTCACATTTTCGAATCCGCTGACCGCTCTTCTCTCTCGCTCGAGTGTTTGCAAACAAAATCCACGGGGCAATGTTATTTATTTAAAAATAAAAAAAACTTAAAATTTTAATTTTGTATGAATTTTGATGTATATAATTGTTTATATATATAATAATTAAATAAATTAGTATAATAAAATTGAAAATAATTGTTTATTTTATTAATATATTATATAATTATAATTTATATAATATATTATATGTAAATGGGCCGTGCCGGCACGCTGGCCATGGGCGGTTTGGATGGTAGCCATCGGCGACTGTGACACCGGATACCGGCAATCTGTGACAATCAGTTTTAGGCAATGTTTTAAAAAATGACCCAAAAATGGAACCGTTTTGGCCATCGGTTTCTGAGTTGATGGTCTGACCGTCCGGTTCGAATAGATGATCCATTAGGTTCGAACAAATGACCAATCTAGACAAAAATAAAAAAATTAAAAATAAAAATGGCAAAAAATCATTGAACGGGTCGATGGTTCGACCGCTCGAGTCAATAGGTTGTTGACTTTTTCAACATTTTTGGCCAAAGACCAGGTTTGGGGTAAAATGGAATCAATTGCTTGGATGGTTCCCGGGCCGAACGGTCCGATCGTTCAGATCAACAATGATTCGAAAACCATGGTTTTAGGTATGTATATCTTTTTATACATTAAAAAATTAACAAAGACAAAAAACAAATATTGTAGCATTATACATTAAAAAGCTAACCCTAACTAATTTGTTTTGTGCATTAATAAGTTTGGTTTTGGGGAAAACAAAAGGAAGGAAGATGTACGTATGGCTGCCATTCAAACCGATTAAGGTTAATTTTCATGGAAGAGATGAAAGGGAGAAGAGTTAAAAAAAAGACATTGCTTGAGGTTGACCATGATCGTCGATGATGATTGTTTGTCGCCACTAGAGGTGTAAGTTGAGCTGTGCCACCTGTGGCCCGACAAAGCCCGGCCTGACATGGCCTAACATGACGGAATGCGGGTCGTGCCAGGACCGACACAATCATGTGGGTCATGCTAGGCCTGGGGTTTTAGGTCTGCGGCTAGGTTAGCACGACACGACTGAGCGAGCCATGCTGCCCGCGGTACGCGTGCCAGCACGGCCCAAAACAACCCATAATTATATATAATATATTATATAATAATAATAAAATAAATAATTGTTTTCAATTTTATTATACTAATTTATTTAATTATTGTATATATAAACAATTGTATACATCAAAATTCATATAAAATTAAAATTTTAAATAAAATTTTAAGTTTTTTTTCAAATAAATAACTTTGGCCCGACCTGTCCCATGGGCCACTCCGTGATTTTATTTGCAAGAAACACTCGAGCGAGAGAGAGGAGAGAACTTGAAAAGATGGATTTTATTTGCAAGCTAACGACATTAAACATCTTGCATGCTTCAAACATTTTAAAGCAAGTGGAGGATGTGTGGCGCATCCTCCTTTTGCGCTAACCTTGCCCTCACCGAAACTGCGTAGACTGAAGCTGGACTCGGCAGCCAACGGGCCGACAGTAGTGAGTCCGGAATCCGGATTACCAATGTGATCTGACACCGCGCATCTAATACATGGCGGGTCCCAGTTTCATGGTAAGATATGTGATGTGAGATCACGTTCGGAGGGTATTAGAACTTGTTTTGTTGGTAGGTGATACCAATTTGGCAATAGTATGGTTTAGGGTATCAATAGAGGTATAAAATGGGCCGGGTGAGATCACGTTTGGAGGGTGTTGGAACTTGTTTTGTTGGTAGGTGATACTAATTTGGCAGTAGTATGGTTTAGGGTATCAATAGAGGTGTAAAATGGGCCGTGCGACCCTCCCTAGGGATAATTTGGGAGGGTTGGCCCAGCCCGACTTGGCCCATGGCCCAAGCTTGTGTGGGCCCATGCCGGGTTGGGCCACAGGCTGGGCCATGGGTGTGGGTTGAATCGGGCCTTTTTTTTTGACATTTTTGAATTTTTTTATTTCTTTGTTAAGTAAAACGAAAATATGTAACTTTATTTTTGGGAATTATTTGAAAAAATAAGAAATCTAACAAAGAAATGAAAAAAAAAACACTTAACCAAATAAGAACTCAAAGAGACAAAGACTCAAAGTGAATAACAAATTGGAAGAAAAATAGGAATTTTATTTCATTTAAATTTTAATGATACAATGGTTGAATGAATGAAATATGAAAATTGGAATAAATTAATAAAATATAAAAAATACAATATAGTTACCAATTAAAAATAAAAAATTATGTTATTAAAAATATCAAATAAATTAAATAAAATTAAAACAAAATTTACAATAATTTGAAAAATGCTATACAACTATTGAGTATACAAAAAATATTGACATCATCATTTTCTCCTATTGTTCTCAAGGTTCAAAGTATCGACACAGGGCGTATCAGCCTGTATTGGTATTTTTTTTAAGTTTTACTTATTTTTTCGAAACCAGTTCAGAGGGATCGGTTTAAGGCCCGACTACCCTCTGAACTAGTGTTTGACCCGATACAACCCCCAGAGGGGTGTATCAGTAAGTCATCGGCACGATACGTGTTGATACTTTGAACCTTGATTGTTCTTGACTTTGATCATCTACTTCAAGTGAAACATCAGGTGTAGTGTCATGCCCTCCTTTGTCTTGTAATTTATTTTTAGCATCCAGTCAATCTTTAAAGCAAATGCACATCTTTAGACTTTCATCATTCATATAGTTTTTCTTGTTGTCCAACACTCTAGTACCTGCACTAAAACAAGACTTCGATGAAACTATAGACACCGAAGGAGTTGGTAGATCATGTGCCATGGCGGAGAGAACTAGATAATTTTTTGCATGTTCACTCTACCAGGCTAAAATGTCAAAATTATTTGTTCCTTCCGAGGTGAAGGAAGAATCACCTAAAGTAGAAAAATTTGCTTGTAAATAAAAATTAAGTTCAATAAATAAACTTGTTGTCGAGGTTGTGAATTTCTGACTCTTATTAAATAAAATGTTTTTCTCTTCCACTACTGGACTCAAGTTCAAAAGTGGAAGATGTAGCTGTGCAAGTTGTAGAATTTTTATTATTCCATGTTACTTCAGATTCATATAAACTATACACTTCAAATAATAAACTATTAATTTCTTTTTTTATTTCCAATTTCAATATTCATATTTTCACAATATGTTTCAAGTAAAATATCGAAACCATCTTGCCTAATCCTACGATCTAATATTGTAGCTAAGCAATAAAGAGGAGAAATGTTCTCCCAATATTTTTTAAATTTATTTTCCATTATTTCAACAATACTTTTAAATTGCAGATTCTTTCTATATTTTGCAAAACAATCACTAATCATCATTAATTGATAAGCTAAATTACAACTAGTTGGATAATAAATTACCGATAATTCATTAGTTGCATCATAAAAATGTTTTAAAAAATCACTAAGAATTTGTTTGTGAGAAATACAACTTTTTAATATAGCATAGGTAGAATTCCATCTATGCTTAACATCTAATATAAAATGTTTATATTTTAAATCATAATTTTGATATAAATATTTAAATTCTAGTTTTCTTACTCCAAAACTTTTAATATATATAATACAACTTCTAATTTTAGAAATATGAGTAGAAATAATATTTAAAGCATCATGAATACATAAATTTAGGATGTGTCATGCACATCTGATATGAAATAATTTACCATTTAAACATTATTTTAATTGAAATTTTAAAATATTTATTGTTGAATCATTATTACTAGTATTATCAAAACTAATAGAAAATAATTTATTGTTATTTCCCTAAGCATGTAAAGTATTTAAAATACTTGCAACAATAGCCAGGCTAGTATGTGGTCATTCAAGCCTATTAAAACTTAAAATTATTTTATTTAAAAGCCAATTTTCATTAATAAAATGACCGATAACACAAATATAACTTATGTTAAATTTAGAAGTCCAAATATTAGAAGTAATTGCAACTTTAGAATTAAGATTTGATAACATATAAATTAAATTTTGTTTATATGAATAAAAAAATTTTAAAGCATCTTATCTAATAGTACTCTTAGAAACTTTTTTAAATTGTGGATTTACAAAATTGTATAACTAATTTTCAAGTTTAGTGTCTTCAACTAACAAAAATGGTTGTTCAGCATGTGTAATGTATTTTGCTAATTTTTGTATCATTTTTTCTTGAGAATATTTAAAAGTACCCCCCCCCGACGTACAATTTGTGTTTGTGTTTTTTCTCTCCCTTCTTTTTTTTTTTCTTTTTTTCATGGGTGAGCAAATGTGTTCCTAAATGGCCAGTACCACCCTTGCTACAATAGCTAAAGTCTTTCTGACATTTTTGAAAAATAACTTTTTCCTTCCCTTGAGCCTCCTCTACTTTAAATATTTTCCAAACCGGGCTAATCAACTTAGTGGCTTTCTTTTTCTTTCCCCTAGTATTAGTATTAGGGGTGGAAGTTCTGTCAATATCAATAGCATCCATATTGGTGCTAATAATACCATGTTGTCATTGAATATCGTTGACATTGAACATGTTGGGGAATTGGTTTTGGGAGGAGCCGGTCATTTTTTTTTAAATTCTAAAAAATAAAAATTAATTTAATTGCACTTACCCAGATTACTGGTTTGGAATCCCGACTTGATTTCAACGGTTGAAGCCTTTCAACTCCAAGAGTCCAAGCCTCCCAAATTGCTAACTTGAGCTTGAGCTATTGAGAAAGCCTTCTTGTTGAAACTTCAATAAAGTTGAGAATTGGAGAATCAAAGAATGTATGAGAGATTAAGAGATTAAGACTTGAGAGAGTATGAGAATTAGAGCCTAGAGAAGAGATTAAGAGAATTGTTGAATTGGTGTGATGAGAACAGTGGAGGATAGGGCTATTTATAGGAATTGAAAATAATTCAATTGCCCAAAATACCCTAAAATATAGTCGTTTTTTAGTTATTGGGAGGGGTATTTTGGTTATTATAAAGTTATTTATCACTTTACCCAAAATGCCCCCCCAAACTAGCTATTATATAGCCGTTGGGGGGCATTTGTGTCAATCTATCTCCCCTTTAAAACTAAAATACATAAATACCCCCCAATATAGCTATTTATAGCTATTAGGGGGGTATTTCTGTAAAAAAGCTAAAACTAGCTATTGGGGAGGTGGGCCGAGCGCAGCCTGCTACGGTCCCGTAGGCTGTGTTATTCCACGGGTGATACGATGCCAGTCCATGGACCTGGAACCCCAAGCTCACCATGGCTTGGACCATTGTGTCGAGTTTGGCATAACCTGCGTGCCATCGTGTCGTGTCGTGTCGGGCCACGGGCGGCACGACCCAATTTACACCTCTAGGTACCATTAAGTGAATCCATATTTCCTAGCCTCCTAGGGGTGCAACTTGGGTGGGTCCAACTCGAGCCCGAACCGACACAACTTGAAATTTTACATTGGTTGGGCTTGGTTTTTTTGTCCTCAGGCCCAAGAAGTCAAGCTTTTTTGTTTTTTGGGCCTAGCCTTTAGGTAGCTTGAACCCAACCCAACTATACAATTCATAAATGCATATGTATGTATTTGTATACATATTTGCATAAATACATTTATATATGTATAATTTTAGAATGGGTTCATTGACCAACTCAAGCCCGGCCCGGGCCCAATCCCAACCCGAGTGCATCAAATTACAATGCGAGCCAAGCTCAAGTTGGAAAGGTCAAGCTTGATCTCGGGTTCGGGTCTTAAGCCCAAATTTTAAGGTCGGGTTTGGATTGACCATAACTTGGTCAAACCTGCCTGACTTGCACCCCTAAGATTTCCTACTCACTTTCTCTACCCACGCCTTACCCATAGTTTACTATAGTTGCATATCTCACGAGTCATGACTCACAAAGACGGTGATGTGTGGCTGCAATTCAAGGCGGATAGGGCATGGGTAGGAAATTCAGTGCATAGGGCGATGCCTAGGCGACAAGGCACCCTTTGAGGCTCACATCACCTAATCGCCAAGTAGTTTTGTACTATGTATTATAAAATACTTTTTTATTCTTTATTTTTTGACATTATAATTATAAAATAGACACTATTAAACTAAAATATTCATTTTGTGTGTTTATATGCTAATTTATTTTTATTATTTTTTTATCTGTTAGGATTTAATCAATACAAATATTGCTAAATGCTGTATTGAACCCTCAAAGACTTTAAAACCTGAACCAATAAGTAAGGATTAACTTAAAAATTTTGTCTAATCAACACATTTTCTATTACTACTACTACTACTTTTTCTTTTCTTTTCTTCTTTTCCTATAACAAAGGGTTCAACCCCTATATTTTTTGAATTTTCTTCCTTTTTTTCTTCTCATGAATATGTTGATTTTTTATACTTTATCATGAATTCTATACTTTTCTTTTGAAAATTATGAATAATTATTAAGGAAATATAGCTATGGTACATAGGAAACTACCCTAAGATCTATATTTTCTATATAAAAAAAATCTATCACCTAGACAATTAGGCGACAAGGCATCCCTGGCCCTTGACACCCAGCCTTGCCTTGGTGCCTTGAAAATTATGATCCAGTGTATCATTAGGTTAGCGGCTGGCCTGGCTTATGTGCATCCCTGTAAAGGATAAACTATGCAAATGGGCTGCACGGTGGCATTAAAGATGATTGTAAGCTGGTCTTAGATTGGTAAGTGTGGGAACACAGATCTTAGTCTGAGGGCGTCCACTTTGTGCAAAAAGAAGAAAAAGGGTCATAGGTTGGGGCCGTGACCAATCTACCCCTCCCATGGCCTAGATAACTGGGACCAATATTGGGTAGTGGAACGCCGTGCTCTCAATGTTTTCACATGCTTTTTTTGTATTCAGGAAATCCTGCCCATGTGTAACGATTGTTTTATGTAATTAATATGTAGATCCAAATTTGATTCATTTATATTTGATTTTGAAACGGATTTTGTCCATTGGATTTATATCAAATTTGAATCAAATTCGGATTGAAATTGGATACTGAATAGCATAAATGAAATAAACTAAAAAACATATATATGATATATTATTACTAAAATGAGTTAAAAATGACTTCAATTCTGTATTTCATGAACAAAATAAATTGGAAATTACTTTGATTCACCCTCATCAAATTTGAATTCGGAAAGTCAGATACCATTTTCAACCCTAACATAGCTTGTTTCACACACCAGTGTTTGCGGTAGATTTAGTATGGACAAGAATATGACTCTCATAGGAGTTATGAGCCGGGTCAGGCTGAATATTAGATTATTTGAGTTTGGCTCAACAAAAAATCACAAGGCTTGAATTCAGGCTTGAGCTCAATTCAAGCTAGAAATACTAGCTCAAATTCAACGTGACTCAAAAGCTCATATATTTGAGCTTGGTTCGGCTCAAGCTTGACAAAGAGCTAAGCCTACTGGAGCTCGAACTCAAAACTTACCCTGGTTGTTCAACATTTAAAACCCACTAAAACACATCAAAATTGCTTGCTCTTATCAAAGTAAGAAGAATAACTTGCTTATTTAACATAAAAAATTCACAAAAACACTATCAATTTTTTATTGTTTTATCTTATTTCTTATTATACAAATAAAAAAATGAAAAGATTATATATAAGCTTGATGAAGCCTGCAAGTTTCACAAGTCGAGCTTCATGCTATTTGAACTCGGCTCCATTAACAATTAAGCCTATACGTTGGATTCAAGCTTGACTTAAAGCTCAATTTGGCCTGGGTTGAATTGAGCTTTTCATGAGTGGAGATTGAATGACTCGCAGATAGTTTGCTTCAGATCCATCCGTGTCAGCACTTGCCCTTCTCATACTATGTGATCTGTTTATTTTTTAAATAAAAAATATTTATCAAAGCCTGTGTATCACATGAATTCCCATGCGTTTTGTTCGATGGTATAATAAGGCTCAATTTTGATTTGACACTTCAATGCTGTGTTTGGTTCGAAGGAAAAAATAGGGAAAGGAAGGAAAAGGTTTTGTTGTCATTAATCCAAGAATTCAACCCTTCTTGGATAGAAAGTAGAAACAGACTCTAGCCCTTTTTCTCCTTTTGAGTTCCCCCCCCCCCCTTGTTGTTTAATTGGTTAATTTGTAATTATTATTATAATTGCTGTATTTTTTCAATATAGATGCCCATTATGTTGTGTAAAAATTAGGGAAAGTAACATGGGATCAATAATTCTTTTTAGAAAAGTACACGCAGATTTTTGATTTCCATTGCAAAACTATAAACATTCAAAATGTCAAAAGACCATACTCTATGCATCATACCCACCTGTAAATTGACATCAATTCCAAGCTGGCACACCCTGGTCTGAACAGTCGTTCTCCCAATTTCTTTAATCAAAATCCATCACCTAGGCTGGCATGGCATCTAGTCAAGGCAAATTTAGAGGTGAACATGAATCGGTTTGATTCGGTTGGATTCCAAGGTAGAATTTGGAACTTACCCTGTGTAAGGATTGGTTCCAGGTTTCTAATAAAATCATGATTGATTCTAAATCGTCTTTGATCTATCCATTAAAATGTTTAAATTTGATTTTCAATAATGATAATATATAGTTTAAAACTTATCATTACAATTTAAATTTTATAAACATTACTTATTATACATATTCAAATATTAAATTGAAGAAAAAAATTATCAATTCACTTAAGTGGTTCAATGGTCCAGTGAGACCATTCAAATATTAAATATTAAATCTTCACATCTATAAAGTATTTTAAAATTTATTTCAAGACAAGTTCAGCTCCGAAGCTAATTCCACCAAGACAATCAATATCAATTCTCCAAGTCAGTTTGGATTAGGATAAACCCCCCAAGACCTTGGAACCAGCTTGGGTGGGGATCGGTTCCAAAAATTAGAACCGGATCTTACCTGATAACATGTTGGATAGGTCAGTTTAAGGCCAGTTCCATTCGGGTCTGGGTAGAACCAATCCATTTGCTCAACCCTACGCAATTGGGTGATCTCCTGTCACTTAGCTTTCCCTTGTCACCTAGAAAACTATAGCCATTCCTTTGAACAAGGTCAAAATCCAAACATAAAATTATTCAAAAGACTAAACTTCTTAATTATCCTTTTGCCACAAATTTACAAGTTAATAAAATAACTCGATAATATAAAATAACAACAAAAGAAGTGAAAGAACGTAGCAGATGATGATGTTTGTCGCTCAAATTTCCATCTGTAAATACCTGTATGAAACAAGTACTCTTGCACTATAAATTAACCAAAGGGGGGAAAAAAGATATGAAGGAAAGCTCTAATTGGAACCTGCCTTAATGCATTGTTTTTTTACTTGTTTCATTGTTTTAAAATTCTGTGCAAAGGGGTATAAGTCATACTATTGTTTAAATCCAGATTCATGATGATGGAAAATAACAGAATAAGAAGGTTATATACAACAGTTGGTGAAGACCACATTCAATCTTCAGTCACTCCAATAATCGCAATCCAATGTAGGTCTCTGCCCTTTCATGCTCCCTTCATCCTGTAGGTTCATTTAATTTAAATGACATACTGGTAATTGTCTTCTTACTATATAAAAGTGATTTAAAGAAAGAGTAGGTATTGATGACTATCAGTTTGTATCATGAAAATCTATGAGAGAGAGAGAGAGAGAGAACCACCTCGGTAACTATAGATTTGGATGGGGACCATACTAGAATTTGTCTATCATTACTGCCTGTGTACAATTCCTGCAAGAAGGACTGAAAATATATCTTCATTCAATACATATGATGTACAAAAACAAACTGATGTTCCAAAAGTTGGACCCTTTTACATGGTTTGATCCTACTTATCATGAACGCAGTGAATATATTACAGGTCAACTAGTCCTGGATGATTTCCCTAAATTTTAGTTAGCTGAGTCCTGTAATAGTATTAATAACATAAACATACATGTACTTTTGGTTCCCTTCTGTTTTCTTTTTCCAAGATTTTGCAGTAAACTTTCACCATATATGTCACAGTTACTCGTGTCAGAAAAAAATTAACAGGCGTTTAATGCTTAAAATATTATAAATTACTATACAGAAAAATGTAATGCTCAAGTATGAATGTCACATTAATCTTTTCTGCCTCACGGTTACTATTGATTAATAGATAGAGGTGTAAATTGGGCCGTGCCACGGTCCAGCACGATTGTATGGGCCGATGGGCCGTGCCAGGCTTGGGGTTTCAGGTCAGCAGGCCGGGTCAACATGGCCCGCACTGTTGTGCCGTGCCACCCGTGGCCCGGCCCGGCCCATATATATAATATAATATAAATTATAATTATATAATAATATATAGTACATAATATATTAATAAAATAAACAAATTTTCAATTTTATTATACTATTTTATTTAATTATTGTATATATAAGCAATTGTATACATCAAAATTCATATAAAATTAAAATTTTAATTTTTTTTTCAATTTTTTTTTTAAATAAATAACTTTGGCCTGGTCTGGCCCAAGGCTCAGCCCACGTTCCAGCCAGCCTGGGCTCGTGCGGGCTCGGGCCGTGCCAGGCCAACCCCCCAAAATATCCCAGGGATGGAAGCACGGCCCATGGGCTGGTCCCAGCACGACCCGTTTTACACCTTTATCATAGTTTTTAAGGTGCCAAGGCAAGGCTAGGTGATAGGAGGGCGCCTTGCCGCCTAGTAACCTAGGTGGGCACCTAGGCGATGGATTTTTTTTAAGTAAAACCATATATCCTAGGGTAGTTTCCTAGGTTCCATAACCATCTTTCCTTAATAATTATCCATAATTTTCATAAGAGAAGTATAAATTTCATCTTTTAAGTATAGAAAATCAACATTTTATGAGAAGAAAAGGAACAAATGAAAGAAAATTCAAAAAATATAGGGGCTGAACCCCTACTTTTGTTATAGGAAAAGAAGAAAAGAAAAGGTGGAAGAAGAAGATTTGTAAGAAGAAAATGTGTTGTTTAAACAAAATTTTAAGTTCTTCCCTTGCTTATTGGTTCAGGTTCTAAAATCTTTGAGGATTCAATCAAGGATCAAAACTTCGATACGATATGCCCCGTATTGGGTGTATTGTATTGTATCTTTGGCGCCCCAATACACATGTTTACAGGTAGGTGTTTTCGGGAACCCATTTTTTAAAATAATATATATTTAAAAATGAAATTGAAAACTATTTGGCAACTGGGCGAGGCAAGCCTCCTAGGGCGCCTTGTCGCCTCTTGACAACTATGACCTCTATTAATAGATCCCTTGCAATAATACATATTGACATTGCTAAAGAAGTATTTCATCTAGGAGTGCAAATCAGATTTAAAGAATTTCACCTGTATTATGGACTGGAGCCCATTCAAAATTTAACAAATGCTCAACCCAGGCCCACACAAGTAGCACTCCTAATTTTATATTTCTCTCACTTCAGTTTATATTTTTGTTGAAATCAAGTATATCTTTTTATACAGAAGGTGTGCAACATGGAATGAATCAATCTGGGAAATCTGTGAATAAATACATTGTGCATTTTCATACAGACCACATTTTTACCAGTTTCTAACATTTTCAGATTGACTAAATTCTGAAATTAAAGGTATCTGAGATAAATACCTGATCCTGTGAACTAAACCAACAACAGTTCACATATTCATAGTGGCCACGAAATGTTGAAGATGTCTGACCAGTCCACATGTCAAATGCCTAAGAGATTCTCAAAATATGTAAAAGTTTAACCAAAAGTAACTCAGCTTCCTAAGAGTAGTAGATTTCCAGACAATTAAAAGGCTACGAGGAAGGGAATTATTACTTTGACAGCACTCATGCATGGAACAAACACAAGGGATGAATTCTGAGTGATTGCAAGCTGTAATGCCTTGCTAGTTTGTAGGCGTACAGTTTCGAAGTTCACAAGTGTGTTACAACCAGAGTCAATATCCCATAACCTTAATCTTGAATCAGAACCTGAAATTCACAAGCCAGGAGTGAGAATGTTCATGAGTTGGTTCTTAAATTGTGACATTTCTAAAATTCACAAGCCAGGCGTACAGTTTCAGAGTTCACAATTGTGACATTTCTTTGATAAGGTTAGTTGACTAAAGGAGACATTTAACCTAAGTTCAATCAGGCTGGAAAGCATTTAAGAACAAGACGACTCAAGGTAAACTATTAAAGGCAACAAACCAATGGCCGCAGATCTCATCTATGGGGATGGGAGTCACTTTCAGATGGTTGATGGTTCCCACCTACAAGATTGACCCACACATCAACCAACTAGATGACATCATGACAATAAACCACAATAGAACTCGTTATTGGACCCTTTCAATATTACGTCTGATCATCCAGACAATGAGAAAACTTATCAGACTTATCAGAGTTGATCAAGTTGATTTTTGGTCTAGGACGTCCCACCTGATAAAAGCTGTCCTTGCATGTTCCCTTATACCATTAGGAGGAATATCTTCAGCATTTGCATATTGGAACCCCTTTTACTAAAGTTCTTCCACCACATTAGAAGCTTTTTCCCAGGATAATTGGATAAATCAACAGGTTCTTTTTTATCATCAACTAGATCAATGAGGGCCATTACTTGTAAGGGTGAACAATCGGTTTATTTGGTCAAAAAAATGAACTGAATAAACTTAAATTTTTAAAACTGAAGTTTTAAATGGAAAACCAAACCGAAACCAAAATAATGGAAAACTGAAATAACTGAAACTGAAATTTCCAGTTTGGATTTTCGATTAAAACTAAATTTCATTAATATATTAACATATTAACATATATATTATACAATATATATAAACATTATATATTTTAATATATAAGATAATATACATATATATTGTGTATAAATAATAAACTTTGATTAATTAACTCAGGTTTTTTGGTTAACCAAATTTTCAAACCTGAAAACTGAAACAACCGAAACCAAAATTCTCAATTTGGTTTTTCGGTTTTAACTGAACAATGCTTACCCCTAATTGCTTGGTGCAATGGTAAAACTTTGGGCTAATGTGTGAAAATATGGGTTTGAGTCTCAGGATGGTCACTTGGTGCTGAAGGTCAGGTCCTTATCCAGTACACCCCTTCTGAGACCCCAGATAGCTGGGACAGGCGATGGGTAATTGCAAAAAAGTAAAGACATCTGTTAGTGTAGGGGTGTTTCTGTCTTTATACTTAGATTAAGGTTGCTGATCTGTAATATTGTGTTGAAACCAGTGCTCATTACTTAAATAAGGGCACATATGTCTTTTCCATTAATTTTAATAATAAAAGCACATGTCTGGCCGAATGGGAGTTATGTTATTTGACTTCCAGTTCGAACCAGATTTTCTTCTTTTCTCTCTCTCTCTTTCTTCCACCTTTCTATCTCTCTCTACATGACTGATCTCAGACAAACAGAACTCCAAGGCAGGCCGAATCATAACATGGTATCAGAGCCACTYGAATCTGCTTAGATTTCTGTCTGCCTAGATTTCTATTCTCTGCGCACCCTATCTAGGGTTTCTCTTGATTTTCCTGCATTCAACTGGAGATGAGGGAAAGGGCTGAAAAGGAGTGATCGCCCTCT